CCCTAGGTTTATTTTTAGCAACTTGTTTTCATCACTTTGTTCTTCAGAATTGTAAGTATAAACATCATTACACTTACGTAGATTAGGATTTTAAAACATTTTTGAGGACATCACATTGGGATCCACAGAGCATAAGACTCCTGGTATCTAAAACAGTAATCTAAGATAATGGTCTCCTGTGGCCAGAGGACTCTCATTAAAATCTTTATGGTACTGAGTTCCATCCTTAAGGAATGGAGAAGACACTACCTTTTATGTTAAGGAGACTAATTTCAGAGGGACTCATCACAGGCATTAAAAAGGAAAAATTGCTTTAAAAATTATCCCTGAAATATGAAATATTTGAAATCACAGAAAGTATTGCAGAAAGCCACATCTGAGACATGAGACTGTAAGTTCTTCCTCTAGTTTACTACTTCATGAATTTAAGAGATTCGAAAGTGTTTTTCCTTCTGAAGAACACGGACATTATAGGATTTTTTTTTCTCTTTACAGTGATTATTCTATATCTTCTAATAATCCAGTACTGGTAGATATTAATATCCTGTTGAAAAATATTAAAATATGAGCATAGGCAATCTAGGAAGTAAGAATGTTGAAAGTTCCCTATGCCTGGTAGAGCTGGAACCCAGGAAACAGTACTGGGGAAGCTTTGAAGAACTTCATAGTTCTGATTAGGACACTGAATTCAAAGCAAATCCAGATTAATAAAGAGAGTAGTACTTGGGAAAAACAAACAGAAGGGATGAAAATATGTTACAGATTTCCTTCTCTCCAGCTCCTGCCAGGGCAGTTGGGAAAAATGAACATAGTATCACATTGACATAATCTTCTATCATTACTGTACTAGAATTGTATGGGTAAAAGCCAATAATTTGAAAAGAAACATACAAGTCAAAGGTTCACAACAATAACTAGTGAGAAAGACTGTATAGAGGACATGTACTCTCATATGCTAGAGATTTCTCTTCTTGGAGAGGCCTGCTAAGGTCTTGTGGTAGGTATGTGTAGAGATGTACGATTTTGACAAAGCTACCCTAGAGAGTTCAATATGCCCCTTAGTAGATGACCACTGTTGTAGTTCAAGTGTGATTTGATTCTACAGAAATCGGGGTAGTACTTAGTATGAGAAAATGCTAGTCTCATTCTCTTAGACTCTAAGCAACCACTGTTGGCATTTTCAGAAGTTTGTTGGTTTTTTTTCCACCAGCTTTATTTCAATTAAGAGAGTGTGTAGAAAACTTCTACACATGCATTCACATTGCTAGGTGACAAGTTTCTTAAAACTTATCTGGGAGCAGCCAATAACTTTAGCATGTGTGCTCACAAAATACATTGTATTTAGACATTTAAAAATAGATTATAGAGGAATTAATAAATGAGCAATATAATAATAATGATGGCTTTCTGGAGAGGACGAAATTTCATTTTTTCCAATAGTCACTGAAATTACTTTACTCAAAAACCTACATTCACTAGATTTTAAACTGGTCTCTGCCTATCTTAGTGTAGGAGAAAGGAGGAAAATAAAACAAAATTTCATCTTAATAAAATGACATGTGAATCTAGTAGAAATGACTGACACAGCCAGGAGTTTTAGGTAGGCTTTCTGTGGGAAAGTGCCATTGGAACTGTTTTTTCAAGAGTGTTAGCCCTCTATCAGGCAGGAAAATTCAGGAAGGATATTGCAGATTAGAGAAAATAACGTGTGCAAATTAGAAGCCTTGAAGGATGTATGATGTTTGGGAAATGGGATTGTTCCCCATGTAGGGCAACAGGAGATGTGGCTGGACAGGTAAGACCTTGAATGCCATGCTAGGGCACTTGCAATGAGGGTAGGCCTTATAATCAAGTAGCCACATAAATGGGTCTCCAGATAGTCACTGCCTTGCTGTGTAAATATTATACATGTACACTTACCAGCTGTATTGCCTTTGGCAAACTAACTCTCTAAGCTATCCTTTCTTCACCAGAAATATGGTCATATTAATAGCATTTATCTCTTAGGATAGCCAAGAGGATGTATGAGAAAGCATCACCAACTCAATGGACATGAATTTAAATAAACTCTGGGAGATAGTGGAGGCCAGAGGAGCCTGGTGTGCTGCAGTCCATTGGGTCGCAAAGAGTCAGGCATGACTTAGCGACTGAACAACAGCAATAACTGAAGCATGCAATGAGGTTTAGAAGTTATTAGAATTATCTAGTTTGTAAGAAAAGGATATATGAAACATGTTGAAAATGAGAAGATATATAGCATAATCATATATTTGATAGAGAAAATGTGGAAGGTGCTGAAGGATAGATCTGGAAGATGAAAAAAGTAGAGACTGTGGCAAAAAAAAAAAAAAAGAAACACATGAGTGGTAGAATAGAAAGAAGACATTTTTTAGTTAGGATCCTGGAATCTAGAAAATGTGGATAAAAAGAGAAGGTGAGGAATCAAAGTAACTCAAGTTAGGGCCCCCAAACTGAGTAAAAGTCTGATAGAAGTAAAATAGGGGAGGAGAAACTGAGGCAGAGGGGACACCGTGTGCAAAGGTGCAGCAGCAATATGGATCATGATGTGCTTGGAAAATAGAGGGCACCATGGTCTGGTTTGAGTGTAGGGTAGGCAGAGGGATGTAGCAGAAATTGGGCCAGGAGCAGCACCTAGGGATCCATTTGTGATGATCCTCAAATAGCATGTTGGGGGATGCTATGTTTGGATTTCCTTCTATAAGAAATGTGCATCTATTCATTGCTTTTGACACTATTAGTGATATATTCTGTATTTGGAAATCTAACAAGTCACAATGTGGTAAATAAAATGAAAACACAGGGAACATGTGACAAATAGCCAAATAAGGGTGTACCATATACACTCTGTGTTATAGGTCCAGGAAAATAGCAGGGGTAATTTAAAAAAAAGATGATAAAGATGTTGGCAAACAAGTCATCTGGAATTATGAAAATGGAGAAGGAGTAAAAAATGGAATCTTACTGTAGCTCTCTGATGTCGGTAACTAACTCAAATAGGAAGTACGGGAGGGAATTCTGACATGTGGGGGAAATGTGGCCAATTCTGGTCTGAAAATCTTACATTCAATACTTTGAGGACATTTTGGCCTGGAAATGTGCCAAAGGAAATTGGAGCTTTCTATATGATAGAAGTCAGAATTGGAGAGTCATACAAGGTAAGTGATAGCTAAAGCAATAAGAATTGAAAAAGTTTCCTTTAGAGGTAAATAGACAAAAACCTTCAGAGGAGAGTGAAGTGGTCACAAAGACAAGCAATTTAGGTCTAGGAAGATTACTTGGGTAGATGAGTTTCCCACCTTAGAGTCCTTGAATTTGTTGTGAATCATGCAGTTAATGCTCTCTCCACTAATTTTTACCTGCTGGTTGCTTATTGCCATTCTGTTCTCCATTTAAGCATGGTACCTCCTCAGAGAGGGTGTCCCAGACTCCACATACCAAAATAGCCATTCATTCTCACATCACAGAGATCCTATATGTCTGGTTACATTTTGTGTTTCTCATGTATAACATTGTATTCATTTAGTCAATATGTGTTGAACAAATGCATGACTTCCATAATCACTTAACCACTCTCTAACTCACTTTATCTTTTATAAAATCAGAATGAAAAAATAAAATAAAATAAAATCAGAATGAAAAATTCCAAACACAGAGATTTGTGAGGACTACATGGAGTAGCTTTCTCTCTGTCTCATGTCTGACACGTTATGGGTAATAGATGGGTGCTGGTTACCTAGCCTGACTCTTCTTGTATTCTATCCCCATAACTACAGTGCAAAAAAAAAAAAAAAAGGTAACTCTTCAAATAGAAATATATGTGTTCATCCTACAGAATAATTTCTAGCGAGTGTTTCTCTATTTCTCTTGCACCCTCCTTTTTCCATCACTGTTTCCATACTATTTTTCTTCCCCATTCCCTTTAACAATGACTGAAGTTAAAATCAAAATTCTATAGAGAGTTTTCATGTCACATTTCTGCCCTTACCTCTTATGAGATCAAATGTTTAATGAAAAATTGATATAGAAATATGATTTGCCAAATTGGTCTGAAGAATTTGAGTTTATTCCATTCAGGTCTGCACTTCCAAGCAGACCACATAACAAGTACATCTGCTAGAAAATGTCCTGGAGGTTTTGTTAAGAGTCAAAATTTGATTAGAACATTATTACCAGAATATGCCACTCTAAATGAGGCAGTGCCTTCAAAATCATTTTGACTCCAAGCTAGTCCATTAATATTATGTTGGGCATCAGGAAAAGAACTTCAATGAGAATTAAGAAGTTTGAAAATTATTGTGTATTAAGAATTAATGATATTATATATCTCAAGTTCCAAATGTTACTGTGGTTAGAAATTGTGCAGAAGTTACAACATGCTAAATACATTTATGTGGTCAGATCATTGTCACATTATCACTTTTAGTGCACTAATGAAAAGATTCTTTGAAGGGAAAGTCAGAGTTCTTTTAGATAATTTCACTCATCTCCCTAATTCTTTAAAAGTTTAATATCTATTTTAAGTGATTTCAATGATTGGATTATTTTATTCATTCAGCCAATAGTTTATGAAGCACCTGTGAGTACCAGGTTAACATTATATCTCAAGAAGCATTGAATACAATCAATAAATCCTGTGGGTGAGAACAAAGAAATTTTATTCATATTTTCCTTTTACATGCAGATATAGTTTGGAAAAGAGATTAGAATGGCTTTGTGATTATAATAAAAGAAGATATTTGGGCTCACTCTATGTCATTAATACAGAGTCCCATACTAGAATCATTTTCACTACTCTACTTCCTGAACTTGACTTCAATCAACTGCCTTTAGAATCACTTTCACAGGCTCTCTCATGAAGAGGAGTCTTGAAGTTCAGGTTCCCTTGATTACAGTCTAGGTGACATCAGTCCATAAGGATAGTTTATACTCATCTCAGAGTCTTCATTTCAATAACCCTCCACCTTTGAAAGAGAGTTGCTATGTGCACCAGGAGGATGGACAATCATACTACAGTGAGCACATTCCTTCTGTGGGGATTTTCCAGTTTCCCGGACCTGCAAGATCTCCTCTTTGTGATGGTTTTCTTCTCCCATGTGACCATTCTAGCTGCAAATGTGTCCATAATGGTGGCTGTCAAGCTCAATCACAGCCTTCACATCCCCATGTACTTTTTCCTCTGTGGCCTCTCCTTTTCAGAAACCTGTACCACTGTGGTAGTCATCCCCCGCATGTTGGTGGACTTGCTATCAGACAGTAAGTCCATTTCTATTCCTGAGTGTGCCACACAGATGTTTTTCTTCTTTGGCTTGTCAGGCAATAACTGCTTCATCATGGCTGCCATGTCCTATGACCGTTACACTGCTATTCACAACCCACTGCACTACTCCATCCTCATGACCCCTAAGATCTGCTTTCAGTTAATGATGGCTGCTTGGTTGCTAGGGTTCCTGGTTTCTGTGTGCATCGTCACCGTTGTATTCAACTTGTCTTTTTGTGACTCCAACACCATCCAGCACTTCTTTTGTGACATCTCGCCTGTTGTCCACCTTGCTTGTGACTATACTCTGTCTTATGAGATACCTATTTTTGTGCTCTCTGCCTTTGTATTGGTGGGCAGCTTTATTTTAATAATGATTTCCTATGTCTTCATTGGGTCCATAGTTATGAAGATGCCTTCTGCCAAGGGGAGGTATAAGGCCTTCTCAACTTGCTCCTCCCACCTCACTGTGGTGTGCATACACTATGGATTTGCTGGCTTTGTCTATTTGAGGCCCAAGAACAGTGACTCTTTCAATGAAGATATGCTGATGGCTGTGACATATACAGTGCTGACACCTCTGCTTAATCCCATTATTTACAGTCTAAGAAACAAAGAAATGCAGATTGCCTTAAGAATGACAGTAAATAGTGCAAATAGGTTCATCCTTCAGATGGTAAATAAAAGAACCCTGAACATTTAAAAATTACAGACTGATGGAAAATAAAAATGGAAAAATTGATGCCAAAACTCAGCCTCTGTGCACTGGTACTGAAACAAATCTTGGAGAAGAGTTTTGGGTGAAGTAGAAAAGAATAACTTTATTACTTTGCCAGGTAAAAGGGGACATAGTGGACTCATGGCCTCAAAACTGTGTGTCCCAACCAAGGGCGATTTTATAAGGAGTTTTATGGCAATGTTTCAAGGGTGAGGTTGGAATTAAAGTGTGAGATTTAAAGAATTAAATTGGAATTAAAGGTGAGATCAGAATTAAAGTGTGTGCAGGGCTTGCATTCCTTTAATCTGGCCTCATTTGGTCTCCCATTGAGTTTCTGTGGTTCTCAAGGTAATCAAACTGTGACCTTCTTTCTGGAAAAAATAATATGTCATCAAGTAGTTAACATTTTCCATTTGTTGGAGGTTTTAGTTCTGCAGAAGAGCTCAAAAATATTGTTATGTGTATCCCTTGAGCTGGTACCAGGATTCTCCCAAGGCTGCACTGTTGTTTCTTGACTTCTCCTCCCTTGCTTTTTATCTCCTCCTTTTCCTGATTAGCAACTGTTTGAACCTGCTATTTGGAACTCAGGGAAGGTCCTGGAGGCTGAAACCTATTCCCAACAAACAAGAAACAGGGGACACAGAAAGGTTTCTGTGCCTGGGGGCCCCACAGGGTCCTGCTTGGTATCAAAATCAGAGTGCTTCCAACAAAATAATCACTTTATGTACAAAGCATTTAACATATTATAGAATTAACTTATATGCCCTGGTACCACTATTATTCTAATATAAAGGTGATACCATTTTAAAATATTTTTTTAATTTTTATTTTATCATTTTATTTCATTTTACAGTAGGTCCTTGTTGGTTATCTATTCCAAATATAGCACTAGATACATGTCAATCCCAAATTCCCAATCCATCCCTATCCTCCACCTTCCCCCTCTGGCAACCACAAGTTTGTTCTCCAAGTCTGTGAGTCTGCTTCTGCCTTGTAAATAAATTCATTTGTATCTCCTTTTTTTTTTTTTAATTCCACACATTCAAAAAATGTTTTAAAATACATGTATATGTGCATCTCTGTATGTATGTGTCTGTGTGTATAAATATATATATGTAGTAAATGATTCAAAGCATGTTTGAAACATAATATTTTCAAAATAATAGTTGGATGAATCTTTTGTTTATGGATTGTAGTTTTAGTGTCAATTCCCAGAAATTTTTGACAGGTCCCATATTTTGAACATTTTCTCCTTTTTAAAAAAGGTTTACAATTTATAGTTCTACATTATACATTGAAGTCCAAAATCTACTTTAAGTAAATGCTTGTGTAAGGTGTGGCATTTAGGATTGAAGTGGCTCCGCCGTCTATGATAGTCCAGTTACTCCAGAACCTTTGTTGAAAAGATTTCCTTCTTTCATTGGGCTGCTTCTGTACCTTAAAAAAAAAAAATGCTTGGCATACTTATGTAGGTCTTTTTCTAGATTTTTTGTTTAGCTTCATTTGATCAATGTATCTTTTCTTCCACCAGTACCACAGCATTCTGATGACTTCAACTGTGTAAGTCTTAATATCAAGTAGAGCTATCTTCTACCTTTTTCTTTTCTTTCAAAAATCCTACATATATTCTAAGACCTTACTTCTTTAGTCATGTAAGCATTCAGTGCTGTAAATTTCCCCCTCAGCACTACTTTAACTTAATCTCACATGTTTTGATATGCTCCCTTTTTATTTTCATTCTATTTATTTTTAATTGTTAGAGTTCCATGTCTTCTTTTTACTATTTGCTTCCTATTTAGGGAACTTGCTTTTGCCATCATTTAAAGGTGGATTTGTTGGGAAAAATTTCTTTTCGTTTTCCTTCATCTGAAGTGTCTTTATTTCACCTCGTTTCTGAAGGGTATTTCTGCCAGATATAGAATTTACATTTGCCTATTCTTTGGTTTTAGTACTTGAAAAATATTATGGATTTTTAAAATAATAAGTAATGATATTTCATCAGTGCTCTTAAGATTTTTCTTTCTTTTAATTTTCAGAGCTTTACTTATGTGTGTTGTGGTATGGATTTCTCTGGGTTTATCCTGTTTGAGTTTGGTCAGCTTCCTACACCTGTAGCTCTATATCTTTCATCAAATTTGGAAAGTTTTCAGACTTCATTTATTTAAGTATTTACTCAGTACCTCTTTCTCCTTTCCTCTAGAACTCCCAAAATAGCTTGTTATTTTCCCACAAATCCATGTAGATTTGAACTTTTTTCCCCAATCTATTTCCCTTTTGTTTAGATCAGTTGTTTATATTTATCTTTGTTAAAGTTTATTGATTCTATCATCTGTCATCTCCACTAGACTATTGAGATCATCCAGCAAGTTTTATTTTTTAACTTCAGTGTTTGTATTTTTAGTTATGTCATTTTCACATTATTATTTTTTGACTTTTGCTTCTTTGCTTAAATTTTCTACTTTTCAAATTTGTGTCAAGGAAATTAATGGTTGCTTGTTGAAACATTTGTTTGAAGGCTGTTTTAAATCCTTAACAGATGATTTCTAGATTCTTTTCATCTTGATGTGGGCATATATTGTTTAATCTCACTGAAGCTTTTACTTTTCTGGTTATTGGTATGATAAGTGATTTTTGATTATGCTGTAGATATTTGGTATATGATTGTATGCTAGATCATATTCCAGGGTTTTTTTGGAGGAAGTCTCCTGTTGTGTTGTTGCTACAACATCAGGTGGGTGTGTATGTGTTTCTTCAGTTTCCTGCTGAGCACTCCTGACACAGCTCTGACAAAAATGGTGTGCTGATTCCCACTGCCTACTTGTAGATGAGTGAGATGCAAGTTCAGCTTTCCCCACTGCACTGCTGTCTCCTTCCCAGTGAAACTGTGACACCAACCTGTAGTTATTTCCGTCAAAAATTATATTGAGTTATTGTATTACAGAGAACATCATAAGCCATTAGAAATGTAAATGACAAACATCCAATATATCTGCCCTCATTGAATTTATCTGATAGTAGACAAGTGATAATAAAATCAACAAGCTAGTGATTCAGACTATTTGAAGGGGATAGTGTCATAAAGAAAGAAAAAAAGACAGAGCAATGAAACTTAAAATGCCAGGGCAGGAGGTGTCAGTGCAGGCCTCATTGGGAAGATAATATCTGAGCAAGGATGGAGGAGGTGAGGATATCACCTGTTCTATGTGGTGTTACCTGTGTATATTTGTGCAAATCTAATCTGATGAACTATGGACAGAGGTTCGTGACATTGTACAGGAGACAGGAATCAAGACCATCCCCATGGAAAAGAAATGCAAAAAGGCCAAATGGTTGCCTGAGGAGGCCTTACAAATAGCTGTGAAATGAAGAGAAGCAAAAAGCAAAGGAGAAAAAGAAAGATATTCCCATTTGAATGCAGAGTTCCAAAGAATAGCCAGGAGAGATAAGAAAGCCTTCCTCAGCGATCAATGCAAAGAAATAGAGGAAAACAATAGAACGGGAAAGACTAGAGATCTCTTCAAGAAAATTGGAGATACCAAGGGAACATTTCATGCAAAAATGGGCTCAATAAAGGACAGAAATGGTATGGACCTAACAGAAGCAGAAGATATTAAGAAGAGGTGGCAAGGAGACACAGAAGAACTGTACAAAAAAGATCTTCATGACCCAGATAATTACGATGGTGTGATCACTCACCTAGAGCCAGACATCCTGGAATGTGAAGTCAACTGGGCCTTAGAAAGCATCACTACAAATAAAGCTAGTGGAGGTGATGGAATTCCAGTTGAGCCATTTCAAATCCTGAAAGATGATGCTGTGAAAGTGCCGCACTCAATATGCCAGCAAATTTGGAAAACTCAGCAGTGGCCACAGGACTGGAAAAGGCCAGTTTTCATTCCAATCCTTAAGAAAGGCAATCCCAAAGAGTGCTCAAACTACCGCACAATTGAACTCATCTCACATGCTAGTAAAGTAATGCTCAAAATTCTCCAAGCCAGGCTTCAGCAATACGTGAACCATGAACTTCCAGATGTTCAAGCTGGTTTTAGAAAAGGCAGAGGAACCAGAGATCAAATTGCCAACAACCGCTGGATCATCAAAAAAGCAAGAGAGTTCCAGAGAAACGTCTATTTCTGCTTTATTGACTATGCCAAAGCCTTTGACTGTGTGGATCACAATAAACTGTGGAAAATTCTGAAAGGGATGGGAATACCAGACCACCTGACCTGCCTCTTGAGAACCTGTATGCAGGTCAGGAAGCAACAGTTAGAACTGGACATGGAACAACAGACTGGTTCCAAATAGGAAAAGGAGTACATCAAGGCTGTATATTGTCACCCTGCTTATTTAACTTATATGCAGAGTACATCATGAGAAACACTGGGCTGGAAGAAGCTAGAATCAAGATTGCTGGGAGAAATATCAATAACCTCAGATATGTAGATGACACCACCCTTATGGCAGAAAGTGAAGAGCAAGTAAA